CATATATACATATATATAATATATATAAATATATGAAAAATTGATGTGGGTACTCAAATGAAAGGTCTCGATGAGAGTAATGTCGGGATGAGCTTATATCTTGTGAAATATCAGTATTTCACAAGATACGAGGTCATTTCTTAATTCTGTTAAATTTCACTGTACTTTCTTAAATATTGACATTTTTAAAAATATAAGCTCATTCCGGTGTTGCACTCATCAAAAGCTTTCATTTGAGTACCCACATGCATTTTTGATATATTTATCATATATACATATATATAAATATATGAAAAATTGATGTGGGTACTCAAATGAAAGGTCTCAATGAGTGTAACATCAGGATGAGCTTATATCTTTAAAAATGTCAATAGTTCTCAAGATACAAAGTCATTTTCTCATCTGACTATTCCGGAGACAAAATTTCTCTTATTCTCTTAATAATATAGATTTTTTTTTTTTAGGATCCAAGATGGAGTGATGTTAATGTAATTTCGTCGTTATTAAAATCATTCTTCAGACAACTTCCCGATTCTTTATTAACAGCAGAATTATATCCAATGTTCATTGATGCAGACAAAATAGAAGATCCCCAAAGAAGAATGGCAACAATTAGAAAACTTTTGAGAGACTTACCAGAGCACCATTTTGAAACTCTCAAGTATTTAATGTTCCATTTGAAAAAAGTTGTCGAGCACAGTGAGATTAATAAAATGGAAGCGAAAAATTTGGCAATTGTATTCGGGCCGACTTTAGTACGAGCCAGTGGCTCGAGGGATAACATGGTTACAATGGTTACTGACATGTCACACCAGTGTAGGATTGTCGAGAGCTTATTGAACAATGTACTAATTTTTTTTTCTATTTATTTTTATTTATTTATTTACTTAAAATAAATATTAACAATAATTTATTTTTTTTTTTAATTCAATAGGTCGATTGGTTCTTCTGTGAAGAAGACTTAGACGACTTGAGTAGATTAAGCGTTAATTTAAGTCTTCCTGCCGATGGCAGTGAAGCAGATACAACAACCAATCACAACCTTCTTCTCAACAATATTCAAAAAGTCGAAGGTAATTTTTAAGCCAATAGTTGTTTAAAAAAAATAGTGATAATTTTTTTTAAATAGATAAATTAGTTTAGATCTAGATAAAATCACTTTTCTGTCTAGCTGTCTAGTTGTCACTTTTATTATCAAGATAAATGTTTTGTATATAATCAAATTAGTCACCTTTTATTTCGAGCACAATGCTTTTTATTTTAATTTAATCATCAGTTAGAATTATACTTCATAAATCCTATCATATTATCTATTTATTTTATTTTAAAGCATTACTCCCGTCATATTTATTTTTGGTTGCTTTTTTTTTACGTGTTACCCTAACAGGCATGCGTGAAATGGTCTCAGCTAAGGACATTGTATCTTCAATCATATCCGCAGCTAACAGAAAAATTCAAAGGCGGAGGAAAGGTCAAGAGGAGCAGGAGAGTGAAGATCATGAAGACGAAAAGGTTCGTTTAATATTTTATCATGTGACAAGGAGAAATTATTTGGTAACTGAATTACGCTTTTAATTTATTTAATTAAATTATTAAAGAATATACCAGAATACTCTCTTAATAATAACTTACACCCTTGCAGTCACTATGTGACTTGTGAACTATAAATAAACAAAATTTTGCTTCATTAAATTAATGACTTTTGTTAAATTGCACTGTATTTTCTTAAATACTAACGTCTTTAAAGATATAAGCTCATTCCGATGTAACACTCATCAAGAGCTTTCATTTGAGTACCCACATGTATTTTCATATATTTTTCGTATATACTTATATATATAATATATATAAATATATGAAAAAATGATGTGGGTACTTCAATGAAAGGTCTTCATGAGTGTAACACTGAGATGAGCTTATATTTCTAAAAATGTCAATAGTTCACAAAATACAAAGTCATTTCTTAATTGTTGACATTTTTAAAGATATAAGCTCATCTCAATGTTACACTCATCAAGATCTTTCATTTGAGTACCCACATGCATTTTTGATATATTTTTCATATATACATATATATAATCCACTCTTATAATTTAGATGAAAAATATGAAAATATATCATGTAAGAGCAAACTATTCGTAACGTGATTGGTCAAATAAATCATAAGCATGAAAATATAGATAATTCCATACCAACATTCACACGCGCGCTTGCGCGCACAACGTATACTACTATATATAAATATGTGAAAAATTGATGTGGGTACTCAAATGAAAGGTCTCGATGAGTGTAATGTAAGGGTAAGCTTATATTTTCAAAAATGTTAATAGTTCACAAGATACAAGGTTATTTCTCAATTATTGATATTTTTAAAGATGTAAGTTCATCCTGGTGTAACATTCATTAAAAGCTTTCATTTGAGTATCCAAACGCATTTTTGATATATTTTTCATATATATATATATATATATATAACATATATAAATATATGAAAAATTGATGTGGGTACTTAAATGAAAGGTCTTGATGAATGCAACATCAGGATGAGCTTATATCTTCAAAAATTTCAATACTTCACAAGACACAAGGTCATTTTTTAATTACGTATCTAGAGATAGAGCATTTTCGAATGAAGCTAATAAAAATTTCATACCAAATAATTTTATCCAAGCCTGTAAATAACTCATTCATTTTTATGTCGCACCAATTAAAAATGAATGGCAAAAATTTTTTTTTAATAAAAACATTTTTTGTACAGACGAAAGCTAAGCAAGATGAATCATTGGGAGTAATTCGGCAAAGTATGGCGTTGAATGAACGACAATGCTCAGTGAGCGAAATGGTACTGATGCACGAAACAAAAAGTCAGCCAACGCATACGAATGACAACACAGTGATCAGCAGCGCTAATTCAAGTCCTCTGAACAGTTCTTCCATATCAAGCAGGTCCAAGTATCCCAGCAGTCCATCAACCCAACAGCAGCAACAAGAGCAGCAGCAACAATCTCAACTTTCTACAACTCTTAGTTTAGATTCTTCGCGACTATCTTGTGATATTGGCTCAGGCAGCTTGGATACTGTCTCGACGATCTCGAATCTGTCAAACGACACGAAGCAGAGTAATGACGAGGTAGCGATACGTACGTACGCCGGGCTGAGTGCGACTACACAGGAAAGAATTCGTAGGTTCGAGCAAGAGACAAAAGCAATGCTGCAACGTGACCAGCATCGCCAGAGACGCGAGGCGGAAAAACGGGAAGAAGAACGACGGAGAATAGAAATGGAGTGGCAACTTGCCAAGAGAGAGATGGAGAACGATGATATCCTTGATGGGATCATAGATAACACTGTTGGGACACCTTATCTCACTGATCGATTGTCCAATTTAAACGACAGGCTTGCTGAGAGATCCAGTGGTGATAACGGTGCTGATACTCATAGGTCCAAATCTACTACAAGATTGACGCCATTGTCTCTCGCTGTACAGCAACAACCGACTGCTAGGCAAAAAGCACTCGCTACTAATCAACTTACCAGTCTTATTGGCGAAAAAATTAATAATGGGATTGTCAAAAAATTCAAGACTGATAAAGAGGTGAGTTGAATTTTGAAATAATTTTTTTTTTATAATTATTTACAAGTCAAAAATTAATATTTAAAAATTTTTTTTTTATTCTTTTTGATTTTACGGCGCATTAATGATAAAAAATTAATTATTAATTAAAAAATAAATATTTTGATAGCTTTTTTACACTTAAAATTTGGAAAAAAAATTGGCTCCCATATTTTTTGATAAAATTTCTATTTTAACTTTTTTTGATTTATTTTTTTTTAAACAATTAAAAAAAAAAATTTTTTTAATTTAAAAAAGTTTTTTTTAATTAAAAAAATTTTTTTTTTTTTATTTAAAAAAATTCATCAGAAAAAACATTTTCTATGGTCCAAATTACCCCAAATAATTGCCATTTTTTAAATTTTGATAATTGTTGGACTGTAAAAAAAAAAATTAGGCAGAAAAGTAGAAATTTATGAAAGAAAGAGACGGAATTTAAAAGGCTAGTGTTTTTTTTAATTTTTATGAACGGAAATAAAAAAAAAAATTTATCCAAATACATTTTAATTAATAGTATTATTTTATTTACGAGCTATTATTTTTCTAGATATTGCAGTAATATTTATTATATTCAAAACACTAACTATTAAACTTGATTAGTAAATTAATTCAAAGATACGGTTCTGGGAATAAAAATATAAATATAAATATACCTCAAATCCCACGAAAATATTTTTAATTACATAATATACTTATCAATAGTAGAAATAAATATTTAAATCCTACGTAACTGATAAACTAATGCACGCTCGTATTCTGGAATAAAATATAGCTCAGCCTCACTATCAGCTGAAAAAATTTAATGCTTTTACCTACACTGAAAAAAAAAATTTGAACCCAAAAAAAAATTCTTGAATTTATATATATATATATATATATATATATATAATATATATATATATATATATATATATATATATATATATATATATATATATATATATATATATATATGTTTTTTTTTTATTTAAAAAAATTCATCAGAAAAAACATTTTCTATGGTCCAAATTACCCCAAATAATTGCCATTTTTTAAATTTTGATAATTGTTGGACTGTAAAAAAAAAAATTAGGCAGAAAAGTAGAAATTTATGAAAGAAAGAGACGGAATTTAAAAGGCTAGTGTTTTTTTTAATTTTTATGAACGGAAATAAAAAAAAAAATTTATCCAAATACATTTTAATTAATAGTATTATTTTATTTACGAGCTATTATTTTTCTAGATATTGCAGTAATATTTATTATATTCAAAACACTAACTATTAAACTTGATTAGTAAATTAATTCAAAGATACGGTTCTGGGAATAAAAATATAAATATAAATATACCTCAAATCCCACGAAAATATTTTTAATTACATAATATACTTATCAATAGTAGAAATAAATATTTAAATCCTACGTAACTGATAAACTAATGCACGCTCGTATTCTGGAATAAAATATAGCTCAGCCTCACTATCAGCTGAAAAAATTTAATGCTTTTACCTACACTGAAAAAAAAAATTTGAACCCAAAAAAAAATTCTTGAATTAAGTAAAATTTACTTAAATAAACCAATAAAAATTTTTTAGTAAGAACTTTTCTACTCAAATTAAGAAGTTGAAATCCTTCAAAATTATTTACTTAATTCAAATTTTTTTTTCTGTATGTACTCAAGAAAAAAAAATCATTATCCACTTTTACGAATATTAATCATAAGAAAAAATATTTAACAAAATTTAAATCATTTATAGTCATCAATGGAGTCATTGGCACCAACTCGATACGGCAGTTTAGATTCGCTTCATGAAGTCCACACATCACCATCACCATCACATCAAACTCGCGGCATACCCGGCGACATCTCAGACGATGGTCAGTATTTATATATTTTCTATTTAAAAAAAAAAAATTAAATTAAAATTCTCTAAAATCGTGTTGCTTTAGTGAACTGTTTAATTAAAAATTACCACACGCAATTTACAAAATAATAACTTAAATCTCAAGATTTAAGTCTCTTTAAATATGAGTTTGAATTTATGGCATCAACTCATCGCGTGTACCAAAATTAAATCCCTTAGCATTGTTTTTTACTGTCTACCTGCTGTAATTTTTTATTTTTATTTTTTTTTTTTTCACTCTTTCCCATTAAAAACATTAAAAAACTGGATAATCAATTAGCTCAGCATAATAGTTGATAAAAAAAAAAAATTTATTCTCTCTGTATATTTTCTCTTCTTAAAATTCGCTTCTGACGGTCGATGAGTAGCCGGATCTTGTTTTCTTCACTGGACACAGAAGATACTTACTATAAACAGAAAGCTTGTTAGGTACTTTTATATTATTAATCTTTAAATATATCCAAGCAATCGTTGCTAGCATTTGATTATATATATTATATTTACAACACATCAATCATCTATTTTTATTTATTTATTATTATTCATATCAATCGACTCATCGAATTAAATTAGTTATTTTATTTAATAATAGCGCCGATGCTTTCGTACCTTTCTTCACGATTGTTCTAATAATAATTATCAACAATGCATGGTTAGAAATTATTATTACTATTATTTTATCTTACAAATTTATCAGTTATGCTTCTATGAATCAACAAATTGATTATTATATTAGAAAAACATTAGTTAGGATTCTTGGAGCGTCTTCTCAGATTATTATCTTAGAAAAAAAGAAAAAAAATAAATTAAATTGCTACTTTAGTAGCAGAGTAGAATTTAAAAATAAAAACAAGCTTAAAATTTTTATTTCTTATTAAATCCCGGACATAAATCACCAGAGAGAAGAAAAATAAAAATAATAATAATCGTTATTAATTATAATTTAAAGCTACTTACAATTAGAAATTAAAATTAACACTTATTATTTACGTATGCACACATTCTGCGTTGCAAATGCGATGATAGAACGCAAAGCATGCTTAGTAAGACAAAAATCCTTAATCCAATTATTATAATCTGATTAAAAGTAAAAAGCAGAAAAAAAAATAATGATAAATAAAATTTTAATCTACTTTACTCGCTTAAACGGCTGTTTGTCATCTGTCTGCCTAATATAAATCTGCCTGGCTAATTTGCCTGCGTAAATTTGTCTGTTACGCTCTAATGACGCGAATTCTCCACTACTAAATAATCTTTTGCCTGCTTATCCGCTGGATGCTGTACTGGGTGATACTACTTTACAGCTTACTTGTGTACGGTCTAACCTTTAGACAAATATTTACCTTCTTTCATGTTTTTTGGATGTTTAGTGAACGTTGCAAAGATTATTACTCAATCATCCACGAAAAAGGAAGATAATTTTTTGATCATTGAGGAAAAAATTATTGTTGTGAAAATAAATTAAATTTTAATTAGAAGAAATAATTCAAACTAGCAAATTTACTGTCACTATATGACTGCCGTGACTTGTGAACTAAAAATAAATAAAATTTTACTTTATTAAATAATGACTTTTGGTCAATTGCACTGTACTTTCTTAAATATTGACGTTTTTAAAGATATAAGCTCATCCCGATGTTACACTCATCAAGAGCTTTCATTTGAGTACACACACGCATTTTTGATATATTTTTCATATATACATATATATATTATATATAAATATATGAAAAATTGATGTAGGTACTCAAATGAAAGGTCTTGATGAGTGTAATGTCGGGGTGAGCTTATATCTTTAAAAATGTCAATAGTTAAAAAACGACCTTGTATCTTGTCAACTATTGACATTTTTGAAGATATAAGCTCATCC